AAAAAAAAAAAAAAAAAACAAAACAAAACAAAACAAAACAAAAAAAGTTACATAGTTTTTTCTTTCAGTCTTCCTTATAACCCTGTCTCTCCCCATACTTTGCTATCTCACAAATTCATAGCTTCTGGCATCTTTCTAATTGTTGTTCTCTCACACACACATATGAATATTTATAAGTATATGAAAACAATCTGCTCAGCCTGAATAATAATACTCATATACTCATATGTATATAGGTTCAGTGCTAACCACTTAGCATTAGATAGCCAACTGAGGAACTCTTTCCTGGATAAGATTTCTCCCACTCTTGGCATTCCTTAGTTGCTTATTGTTTTTTGTCTAGGGTTGGGATCTCTTGAGATTTCCCTCTTCGAAGTTAACATGATTTATGTACATGTATGTGTGGGGTCTGTGTAAGTATATCCACAGGGGCTACAAGGGTGTATCAGATATCCTGGAACTGAAGTTACAGGATGTTGTGAGCTGCCTGATATAGGTGCTGGGAAGTGAGCTCTAGTTTTCTGCAAAAGCAGTATGTGCTCTTAACTACTGAGCCATCTCACTAGGCACATTTATGAGATTCAGTCATCTTGATTACATTAATTGATTTACATTAAATGGTCAATCATTTTAATTTTTTCTGACGTATATTATACTGGTGACACTATTAATGGGTGTGTCACACAGCAATGAATATGACCAGTAAAAAGAAATCACCAAGGTAATTTGAGAAATTCCTAGCTACTAAATTTCTATCTTCGCTAAAGGAACACTATGTTCTCATTCTTTAACACAGTAACCCTAGTTTTACTTCCCTGAAGCCACACAGAACTCATCTAGTCCCTCTTTGAAGATGTGTAGATTGTATTCACAATTCACCATCTTCTCTCTTAACATCTCCAATTCTGTAATTCCTAAAACAAACTCATTTCCAGTCCCTCTCAATATTCTAAACATTTTCTCCAGGATGCACTTCAATTTACTCTGTGTCCATATTACTTATTAAAAACAGTATTCTAGAAGGCTAGAGAAATGCCTCAATAGTTAAGAGCACTTGTTACTGTAATGGAGGACCTGGGTTTGGTTCTGGGCACCACTCTAATTCCAAGGAATCCCATGCCCTCTTCTGACCTCGCAGGCTCCAGCCATGCATGTGGTGCACATGCACATGCAGGTAAAAACATTCCATACATAAAAATATAAACATCTAATTATTTTACAAATAATATTGCAGGCATTGGATAGCTTCATTGTACAGAGAAAATAATAGAACTTCATTAAGGGTCACATGGTAAAAAGATAAAAAATGTAAACCTATTCAACAAAATATCTAGGACATGCCACTGAGGTAATCAAATACTGTATAAGGCAATACACAGAAGTACCAGAAGCTATGAGACATCAGCAATACAGATGGTTATTTGTATTAATAGGTTAGGAATGGAGGAACTTCAAAATGAGGTTCATTTAGGTTGATTTCTAAAGAATTAGTATTAGTTCAAAGGTTCATCAACATAGGAAAAGCACAGGGATGTGACTCTGTAGAATGACTGTCTAGCATGCACAATGTTCCAGACTCAATCCTCAGCACTATGCAAACTGGCCAGGTGTTGCATGCCTATTCCAGTGCCTGGGAGGCAGAGGCTTGGAGGGTGAGGAATTCAAGGTCATCCTCAGTTATCTAAGTTTATGGCCAGCCAAGCTTGGAGACTCTACTTTGGGCCAATGTGAAATAATAGGAATTACCTTTATTTTGTTTTAAATAACTGAAAGCTGGTAAAATAGAAACAAAATATTTCAAGCACTAAATAATAGTAATTCAAGACATCAATCTCAAATAGATCATACAACAAGGACATCTGTTCAACGATGTTCATAGCAGCACTATTTGTAATAGCCAGAAACTGGAAGCAGCCTAGATGCCCCTCAACCGAAGAATGCATAGAGAAAATGTGGTACATGCACACAATGGAGTACTGCTCAGAGGAAAACAAAACAACAACAACAACAGACAAAACAAAACAAAACAATGGAATCTTGAAATTTGCAGGCAAATGGATGGATCTAGAAGAATCTCAGATGAGGGCACAGCACATACAGATTTTAGCCTACGGAGTGACATTGGTTACATATTACTATCCAGTACAAAATATGAGTCAGGGGAAGAACAGATGATAAAAAGAATGGAGATATCATAATAGAGGGAGACATTTTTGGTTTACAGAGAAATCAGGTACTATGGAACAGTCTGGAGATCTACAAAGATGACACCAGCTAACAATCTAAGCAACATAGGAGAGGATACCTTAAATGCCCTCCCCTGATAATGAGATTGATGACTGATTTATATGCCATCCTATAGCCTTCATCCAGTAGCTGGTGGAAGTAGAAGCAGATACCCATAACTAATCACTGAAATGAACTGGAACCCCGATGCAGAGAAGGACCAGTGAAGAGCACAGAGGTCCAGACCAGGCTGGTGAAATCCACAGAAACAGCTTACCTGAACATCCAGGAACTCTTGCTCCCCATAGCTGGAATACCAGCATGGGATTGATCCAGACCCCAGGAACATGGGTTTCTGTGAGGAAACCTCAGGAATCTATGGGACCTCCTGTAGAAGCCCAGTATTTATCCCTAGCATAGGTGTGGACTTTGGGAGCCCATTCCATACAGAGGAATACTCCCTGAGCCAAGACACATGGGGGTGAGCCAGGACCATATCCCAAAGGAAATGAAAGACTCTGATGACACCCTATGGAAGGCCTCACTATCCAGGGGGAGCAGAAAAGATATGTAACAGATAAAGTTTTAGTTGGGGTGGGGTAAGGGAGGAGGGGTGGGAGAAGGGAACTGGGATTGTCATGTAAAACAATCCTGTTTCTAATTCAAATAAAAAAAGTTGGAAAAAAAAAACTCTAATAGAAAACAAATTGAGCCTCATTTTATTTATTTACTTTTGAGACAGGGTCTCACTATGTAGCTCTGTAGACTATAGAACTCACAGGGATTCTTCTGCCTCTGCCTTCTGCACACTGGGATTAAATGAGAGAGCCATCACACTCACAGCCTTATTTTAAACATAGCCTGAAGAATTTGTAGGTTTCAGCAGAGGGAGGGAAATGCAACTGGAATCTGGTAGTCTCCCTAAACGGAAGAGCTGTAAATTTAAGAAGCTAGAGTTTGGTCAGAGGATGGTTCAGCAGGTAAAGGCACCTGTCACCAAGCCTGATGACTTGATTTCAATCCCTGAGACCCACACATATGCCATGAGTGCATATACACATGGAAATATATACATAAATATTAAAAAGAACGTTAGGATTTTTAAAGTAGAAGACCAGAAATTAGCAGAAGGTTCTCCAACCTAATTTTAGTATAGATTACCAAACACAAAAAGAACGTTAGGATTTTTAAAGTAGAAGACCAGAAATTAGCAGAAGGCTCTCCAACCTAATTTTAGCATAGATTACCAAACACATGTGGAAAAATCTACAGCTGGAAAAAAATCATCTCAAAGGACAAGGACAACATCACCACTATTAAAATAGAGGCCACAAAACTTTGTGTTTTGCTTTAGTTAAGCACAAAATACCTCACAACATAAATAGCATTAGATACATCATTAAGAATATTACATTAATATGAAGAAAATTTTGCTCCATACTAACTGAAGACTCGTTTGGTCTTAAGCTGAAAAGCAAGCCAGGAAAGGAACACACTGTTTTTACGTATTTAATGGTGTTCCTAAATAAAGCTAAAGAATATTTTAGGAATCTTAACTTACCCAGCATCCAGAAAAACATAAAATCTACAAAGTCTGACATCCATAAAAAAGTTACCAGTATACAAAAAGTAGGGAAATATATCCCATAATGAACTAAACATAATCAACAGGTGCACTTTCAAGAATAACAGATGCTAGAATTAAAAGACAAGGACATTCCATCAATTATAAATATGATCCACATGATCAAGAAGGAAAAGGACAATATAACCAAAAAAAAACCTTTGGAGGATAGAAATATAAATCTAAGATAAAAACAGTATGGATGGAACTAACAACCTGAGGTTCAGCACCAGAACTTCCTAACATGAAAACAGACACAGCCCGAGAACGTTATGCAACTTCTTAGCCAAATATATGTGAAACTGGAATTCCTAAAACAGAATATGGAAAGGAGGGAAGAAAAAAAGAGATGAGTGATTGATGTCAACTTTTTTTCAGGAATACTAAACTCACATACTGCAATGTGAACAATTTCCAAATAAGAACTATAAGGAAAACTAACTGCACCATGTTATATCACAAACCTAGAAAGAAGGTAAAATCCTCAAAGTGGCTAGAGACAATGCGGGAAAGGGAAGAGTCCCCATCAGCTGTCCTCCCAGGCAATCAGAAGCACAGTACAGAAAGTTAGAAAAAATAATAGTAATAATAATAACAGCATCAAAACACAGTGACCCACACCCACCAAAAATATTTCTCCAAATAAAAAGTAAAATAAAGACTTCTTCAAGTATATAAAACCTGAAAAGATTAGTTGTTGGAAGACCTTAATATAAAAAATGTTAAGTCACTTAAGCAGGCAGAAAACAGGAAGAGACAATAATCTGAATTTACCAAAAAGCATGGAGAATATTAGAAATGACAAAAAGTATGGATAAATACGTATTTTTTAACCTTAATTTTTAAAAGATAACTATTTAAGTAACAATAATGATAGTGTGAATTTATAATGCACATAGAACTGAATGTAAGACAATAATAGCACAAATCTTCCAACAGGAAAAAGCAGCATACTGTTGTATGATTTTTATACCATATATTGTATAAAACTAATGTTAATTATACTCAATGAAGTAAAACTAAAAAAGCAAGGCTGGAGAGATGGTTCAACAGGCAAAGTGTTAGGCACAAGCAAGACGACTCTGGCACCCATGGCAGAAGGAAGAAACTTCCCAAATAGCACTACCAACTGAGAACCAAGTATTTACGTGAGTGTGTGTGGACATGTCATATTCAAACCATAACATTATGCTTCATCCTCCGCAGTCAACAGTTCTATCACAACAGTATTAGAAGTCTAAGTCCACAGCATATTCGGAAACTAAAGGCAAACTCTTAGCTCTGAGCTGCAAAATAAAAAACAAAGTTATATACTTCTAAGATAAATAGCAGACTAAGTACTTGCACCCTAGTAGGGAACATCGTGGACAGAGAAGGGAAGGACAAAGCAACAGCAAACAGAGCCAACATGAAAACCGGTAGTTCTTTGTCCAGCATATGGTCTCATATTCACCCAGCCCCGCCCTCATGGTCTAACTGGCTGAACTACATGGCTCTTTCCCATTGGTTCTGCACATTGCCTGCAGCTTTCCTGAAGAGACATTTCCTGTACCAGCATCTCCATCAATCTAGCTAGATCATTGCCTGGAGCTTAAACTTCATCCTCACAGCTCTGAGCATTGCCCTGTCACATGCTACCCACAGGACCTTGACCTTCCACTCTAAGGTCTCATTGAAATTAAGCTCCCAGTCAAGGGACAGCATGTACTATCTGACATGTAGAGATGTGACAGAGCTCTTCATGGATGTTGGTGCTCCCCTCACAAACATGTTTCTTAAAGTATTGATAGACAAATGTTCCAGATCTCTACAATATAGAGGATATGTTTCTACATAGAAAATCTATTTTAGAATTCTAATTTTCTTAAACTTTGTTACTAAAACTATTTCATTGTGTGTATGCTTGAACTGCTATAATTGTGTAACAGTTTGTGTATGGTGGTTCAAGGATAGCTAGTGCAGTAGGTGATTTCCTTCCACAATGTGGGTACTGCGGATTAATCTTGGGCTGTGAGGCTTGATGGCAAGTGCCTTAACTCAGTGAACCATGTGTCCAGCCCTGAGAGATTTGTGTTTATTTCACCTGAAGCTGAGAAACTTTGTTATTTGATCCTAAGATGCCAGAAACAACAATTCAATTCACCACCACCATATCTCTTAGTTTTCTAGAGGTTCTCAACAATCACTAAATTCTCTGACTCTCAAATTGCTAAGTTAGGAGTATCAATGCATTTACTTTACAGATTTCTTTTTTTTTTTTTGGTTTTTCGAGACAGGATTTCTCTGTGTAGCTTTGGAGCCTATCCTGGCACTCGCTCTGGAGACCAGGCTGGCCTCGAACTCAGAAATCCACCTGCCTCTGCCTCCCAAGTGCTGGGATTAAAGGCGTGGGCCACCAACACCTGACTTGCAGATTTCTTTAAATAGTTAATAGCACAGATTATCAGTACTATCAGGAGAGCGTTTACCACCTTTAAAATTAATCAAATTAATAACTACACACACAATTAAGGAAACTCAGTCTGGAAATTCTATTTCTCTAGACTCATTCCTGGTATAAAATCATACTCCTGGTAAGATTATTTGTCTCATTTCTGTGATAAAATACTGGATGGAAAAACAGACTTATCTGATTCACAGTTTCAAAGAGTTCACTTATGGTTGCTTGGTCTCATGCAGCCACCAGATGTAACAAATCACAACAAGCAGCAGAGAGACAGACTGGAACCAACGGCCAGGTACAACCTTCAGAAGTGATCTACTACTTCAAGTGATTTATTCTTCATGTACCCAGGCCCCATTTCCTAAGTGTCTACATTTCCCCCCAAAGTACTGCCACCTCGGGATCCACAAATGTGTGGAAGACTCTTCCTATTTGAGCCATATCTCATTAAAAAACAAAACAAAACAAAAACTCAACTCATTAAATCCCATTCAAATTATAACTCAGTCACATTTCTCCATTTTCTATAGCTTATATTTTGAGAATACACTGAAATGATCATCGTCTAAAATTTGACTACATAACTCAAGTAGCTGAAGAAACTCCTACACTATCAAGAACATTAATAAAGCCTCTTATCTAAATTCAATACATTTACTTTCATATGGGACAATGAAATACTTCTTACTCCTATCATTTAAGTCTAAAGAAACTTGAGTTTATTTACATAACATTACAACTTTCATACTATATATAACATGAGAAAACCCCATAAAAATCCCAATTTGAATTTGAAAGGAATCTGTAGAATATTCACACAAAATTCTGCACAAGCATACTCTTCAAACACACTATGATATTCTGAACTAATGATTGGAAAAGGTGGGTTTGATTCTCTGACGTTCTTACCTGTATAATCCATCATCGATTTCCACAGATTCTGTTGACATGGTGGGTATTTTTTTACTTGCACTAGGGAGAAAAAAAAAACTAACTTTTAAAGATCAAATATTGCTTTTGAATATTAATACTCTATAATGTGAAATTCAGTCATGCAAAGAGACCAGGTTCACAAGTTATTAAAGGTCCTTATGTACAAATGTATGTTTTATTAGGTGTCAACTTCCTCAGGTTTTTAAATGTGCTTAAGTCAATTTCACTAATTGCTGCTCTGTAAGGCTGTATAGTTGAGATTTTAGAGCAACCAGACAGTAACTGCAACCTACGACATCATCTAGCTAATAAAAATCAGCGTATTCATATAACATACTATTCTGGCAATAAAAGTGCATGCGCGCGCGTGTGCACACACATGTATGCACATACAGAGACACAGTTTTCTATCATCTTGTTCCTACTACACTTTCACTTTCTGTCTTATTTTGGCCAAAATTAATTTGGTGGATTTAATTTCTGAGTACAAATGAGAACATCTGTTCTGCCACTTAATGGCTATGCCTGGCACTAGCTTTCCAAAAAGTTCTGTCTCACTGACTGCTTCAAGAATATGTTCAGCCAGGTGGTGGCGCAGGTGTTTTTAATTCCAGCATTAGGAGCAGAGAAAGATGGATTTCTGTGAGTCTGAGGCCATCGTGGTCTACACAGGCAGTTCCAGGGCAAGCTCTAAAGCTACACAGAGAAACCCTGTCTCAAAAAGACAAAACAAAGATTATGATCAAACCAGTCAAGCCTAATTACACATATTTCTAATCTCAAAACTCCAGGGGAGGAGGGGAGAGAATCTGGGGTTCTAAGCCATCCTTGACTAACTAGAAGGCTTACAACCAGCCTCAAAACCAACAATAATTAACAATAATGACACCTATGAGACAATAAAAATGCTCCGACTAAGGGGTGGTTATTTGTAATAAGTAATATTTCTCAAGTCGATTTTAGCAGCATTCACCTGGGCAGACGCTACAGTTACTTAAATCCATACTTGAAGCCTCCTTTTCAATATGCAACGTAATGCTCAAGGCTATGTCAACTGAAATTAATAAACACGTCGCTTCTATACTTAGTATACAGTATTCTTATACGGGGCAGGATACAAGTGGGGCTTTATGCATTCTAAGATGACTGAAGGAGAAATATCCCAAACATCGGTCAGAGTATACCAGGACCCCATCCCCGTAATCTTGCGTGCTGGGAAAGAAAAACTACAAGACCCCTAAGTGGGAAATAATCATAGGAGCCTTGGGCTCCTCCCCGTGCCCCAGCACCCCCCCGTAGTCAACATGGGGTTCTCGGGGTGTCCAAACTGCAACCGATTCATCCAAACTTGTTCCCTCAAGTAACAAACAGTTTTCCAAGTAGTAAGGTGGCACAGCAGGATGGGGCACAGGGGCGCTGCAGCTGCCTCTTAAAGAGAGGTGCCAAGCAACAGGGGCCACAACCCACTCTTGACCAGGCCCGACAGAAGTGGTGACCTGAGGGGAGGATGCCGGACCCGACCCGGAACTGGGAAGATTCCAGAAGAGCAAA